TTCTTCCAGGTTTTAGGGTAGAATGATTGAATCCCCTTAGAGGATGCATGCATATTGATCTTGGATGGATTCACCATCTTATTCATTGGTTTTATTTCGATTGTATGTTGTTTGTTTTTATTTGTTGAGCCGCTTAAAGTCAGTTGGAGTTGGGTGGTGTCCAAGTTAAAGTAGCAACAATAACAAAAGTAGATATATAGCTAGCTCAGAAATCTTATTTAGCTATATCACTATGGGAGATGGGCAGCTGTACAATGTGATAAATAAAATTTAAAGAGAGCTCATCAGTAATTTTTCATCAAATTGGAATGAGGTATCAGGATAGTGATACAAAGTTTGATCCTATATTATATTCTTTAATATTTTTATTAATATTTTGATAAAGATGAGGATGGAGTGTTTATCAAATTTGTCATATTCTTCTCCTAGACAAAAATAAATGAAATTCAGAGCAGTATGACCTTAAATCATATTTTACTTATTTATTTATTAGAATTTATCAAACAAAAAATGAAAACAAGAATAAAGGTAAAACTACAATGACAGGATGATAGGCACCTTAGTGCACTTATGCAGAGTCCACAGGAAGAGGACTAAGACATTATAGTTTGGGTGTTGTCATTGAAAGCCTGACGTGGAGCAGTTATACCTATGCCAATGCCTTTTAGTGATTAAAGAGAATAAGATTTAAAACTATCAAAGAGGCTAATGTTCAAATATCTTCAGCCATGGAATTTCATTGAGTGATTTTAGGCTGATCAGACTAAGAAACATCATGGGAATAATACTAGAGAAGAAAATGCTTTGTACAACTGATTGATTGACTGATTGATTGATACTATCAAGTCAGGGTTGATTATTAATGACCACATAGATTTTCTCTAGGAGGATCTGTCTTTAACCTGGTTTTTCAGGTCTTCCATTGCTATTGTAATTGAATCCATTTATCTTTTTGTTGGTCATCCTCTTCATCTCTTTCCTTCCATCTTTCCCAGCACTATAAACATCTCTGGAGAGCCAAGTGTTAATGTGTTCAAAGTCTAATAATTTGAGCCTTGTTCATTTGTGCCTTTGATTGAGATCTCTGGGTTGATTTGTTTCATTATATACTTGTTTGTGGATGTTTTGGCATTTTATTGTATTTTCAAAAGATTTCTCTCTTTTTTAATGTGATTTTTATTCAGGCTTTTAAAAAAGATTAAAAATTAATCCAAACTAATCCAAAGTAAGGAGGGGGAAAGAAAGAAAAGACCAAAAGTGGAAAAAAGAGAAAAACGTTTAAGAAAACATAAAAGAAAAAAAATGCAAAAAGAGGACTTCTAATATTCTTCACAGCAGTTATAATCATGTTTTAATCTCTCTCTCTCTCTCTAACAGTATTCTCAGGAGCTTTCTCCAACATCAAAATTCAGAAGTGTCAGTACTCTTTCTTGTCTGCTTCCTCAAATTCCAGTTTTTTGTGTCACAGGAAAAAACATTGCCTGCACAATTCTGATCTTTGTAGCAGAGGTGGAAATCATTTTTTTTTTACTACCAGTTCTGTGGGGGTAGCTGGTGGGCATGGCAGGGGAAGTATACTGCAAAATCCCCATTCCCTCCCCACCCCACTAACCTGTTTTCCAACTCTGTTCTCCTGTTCAGGGCAACAAAAGAAGATCAGCTGGGAGGCAACGGGGGTGGGGCCAGCCTATTTGCCGGTTCTCTGAACTACTCAAAATTTCCACTACCGGTTCTCCAGAATCTGTCAAAACTGGCTGAATGCCACCTCTGCTTTGTAGATCTCTTTATCTAAATATCTTTCCCAAGATCTCCATTCTCTACTGAGTGCTTGTCTGTGTCATATTTTAAGAGTCCTGCTTCTTTTGTGCTTTAGATAGTTGTCAGAAAAAAGGCGGAAGCTATCCACCTCTTCAACACTTTCAAGTCAGTTCTAAAGCTAGTTACTATACCTGTTATTATTTTAGCAATCTTTATTTTTAATCTCAATCCCATTTTTCACTAGGCTCTTTGATTTGAGAGCCAGCATGGTCTAGTGGTTAAGGCACCAGGCTGGAAAGTGGGAGATTGTGGGTCCTGTCTTAACCATGAGAGCCTGCTGGTTGACCATGGGCCAGTCAGTCTCTCAGTCCAACTCATCTCACACAGTGGTTGTTGTGAGGCAAATAGGAGGAGGAAGATGGGTTGGATATGTTTGCCATCTTGAGTTATCTGTAAAAATAATAAAGGCAAGATTCAAATAAATAAAAATAAAATAAAATAAAAATTACTAGCGTTTGCATATTGTTTGCCTTTTCAGCTATTTTTGTTGCGTCATCAGCATAGCATAAGTTGTTGATGCTTCCTCCTCCAGTTTTGAAACCATGCTCATCTTCTTCCAATCCAAGTTCCCTCAATATATACTCAACATAAAGGTTGAAGAAATAAGGGGACAGTAGACAACAGGGGCTCCCAAACTTGGCAACTTTAAGACTTGTGGTTGTGGACTTCAGAATTCTGGGAGTTGAAGTCCACAAGTCTTAAAGTTTTTAAGTTTGAAGACCTCTGGTCTACAGTCTTGTTTCACTCTTTTTCCAACCTAGAACCAGACTGATTGCCATGTTCCATTAGATCATGGCTTTCTGACCTATGTATAGGCTTTGTATGAGGACAAGGAGATGCACTAATGAGCATCCCCATTTTTCTAAGCAGATCTCGACATGATCAACACAATCAAAGACTTTTCTATTAACAGAGAAGCACATAGGGAATTCTTTTTTATATTCTTTGGCTTTCTCAATTATCTCAATAATAATGTCTCTTATTCTTTGGCCTCTTCTAAAACCAGCTTAAACATGTGGCATCTCCCTTTCTAGGTAGGTCTCTAATCTGCCTTGGATGATCTTTTTGGCTAGCATATGAAATTAAAGATACTGCATAAGGATTTGCTTACACTTACACTTACACTTATAAATAATATAAATGTAGTAAATAGATAAATGATAGAGGCCATGGGGAAGCAACATGCTTCCTTGAACAGGTATGAATAGTGATGGAACCATACTTTAGACAATATTGACAGATAATATTGTCCTCCTCTTTCACCAGTGAGCAGCTTCAAATGATTCTTCAGAAGAACCATTTCACAGAATAAAATCCCATTTGATCATTGGTGACATTTCTTGTTTAATTGTCTTGGAATAGGTTCATGAATTTCATTCAGAGAGCACCGCTTTTGAATTTTCTCTCAGATCTGTATGAAGTTTATTGCAGGGAATTACAGCAGGGGTGGGTTTCGGCAGGCACTACTGCTGGTTCACTCATGGGCGCGCTGCCCATGTGCATGCTTGATGTGCGCTTTGGTTGTATGCACAGTGCAATAAAAATGTTCTGCGTATGCGCAGAAGTGAAAAACAAGATGGTAGCATCTATGGTGCCGCCCAGAGAACCAGTTCAGGGATGTGGCAGGCCTGGGTTGCTGCTGGTTCCAGCGACCCAGGCCACCAAACCACTTACTGGTTTGGCCGAATCAGTCCGAACTGGTAGGAACCCACCACTGAATTACAGACTCCTGCTGATTCAAGTTAGCATAAAGTACCAACCTAACTGCTGTATTGTTATTTCCCCAAAGGGATGCAGAACATTTTGCAGCCCAGGAGGTTTAAATATTTGCATTCTTGTTGAAATGGGCTATTAGGGAGTTCCCGTCTCCCACCCAGCACTCTTGTTCTTAAATAGTCAAAAGTCTCTTGGGAAGATTATGTCTTGCTGTTTGTTTCCAACTTCAAATAATCAGACCTTTGTTACTGTGGGCCATGCTTTGCATACAGTAATCTTTCTTTCTGTTATATTTTTTATCTTCAATCCATCACTGTATTGAACTAGTTACCAAATGTTTTGCAAAGCTTTGTCTCATGCAAGTGATGCTGCATCCAGGAAGGGGATCCATATTTTGTTAAGCACTAGCTGCAAGAATTAAAATTCTATGGAATATAGGAGGAAAGAGAGTTACTCATATAAACGACCATGTTGCAATGAATGAAGATTTTGCCTTTAGCTTTATGGGAGTTACTGGGATAACGTCTTGCAAACATTACTCTCAATGCACTTCATTCAATTTGTTGTGTTTTAGGGATTCATTAATTATTAGTAGCTGGTTAGTATTAGTGCTCTTTTTTATTCCCTTTCTCCTATGAGTTGCATGCAATATCCATGGAAACCCAAACAAGCAAGCAAAGATTATACTGATTAGGGACGGAAGTTTCCATCAGTTCCAAAGAAGTTTCAAAAGTGGGTGCAGAAGTAGATGGTAGAGAGCAACAAGTCCAGTTAAGTAACTTCTTCAAAAAAGAAGAAGGAAAATTAGATCTCTCCTGGTATGGGAATAAGATGAGTCTCTTAGTGACCAAATAATATAATGACTGTTGCAAATATTTTATATTTATTCTTATCCCTTATTTTTTCTCTGGGCAAGGATTTTCTGTTCTGACAAAGATTGCCCCCTGAAATCTTGCTATAGCAACAATCTTGAAAGTCTGAATAAATGAGTCGAAATGAATGCTAGAAAATTATTTTCTTTTCTTTTCTTTCTCCCGATGATACTTAGGTAAAGTTCTGAGCAGGCAGATGTTACTGATCTGATTGCAAAGTTCTGATTGGCTGATAATTACGTTCAGGCATTAGATTTACAAACTTGCCCATGAACCTAAGACTCTTGCATTCTGATGATCAAAATGGTCGGAATACCCTGGATCAGTTTCAGATGTGTTTTAAAATAAAATTAGAGACGTTGAAAATCAGAAAAGCTGTTTGTCTGGAAGTGCCTTAGATAAACTGGCTGAAGATTATATGTGTGTACATTCACACTCATTCACTAATATAGCTTTGTAACTACACCAAATTCTCAAACAAAATGCCTGTAGACAAAGTGTTTCACCCACCTACCGCCATGTGATAATATGGAATTTTTTTCATATAATAGAATTTTCTTTTGGATTAAATTTTATTTCTTTATCTATTTTTAGGAGGAATGACTTCCTCTCACTTCTATGATTATGGTAGTTCCAAGACATCAGACAGAAGCAATGGCTCCCTTTACACCTCTCTGTTTTCTGATGAACTCTATACAGCACCTCAAGATTCTTCTTATTTCACCGGAAATCTTTCCAGGGAGGACAGTCATGTTACCCCTTCGGAGAGCATTGAGGGAATTCATGCCCAAAGTGGGCTATTTAGCTCTGATTCAGGAATAGAGATGACCCCAGCAGAATCCTCTGATGTCAACAAGATTTTAGCTGATCCAGCGGAACAGATGAAATCAGAATCCTACAAGTACATGGACATCAGTAGATCAGAAGAGATTAAATACCAAGAGAGCTGTGATACAATCAAGGAAGACATGAGTCCTCTCAGCTTGATTAATAAAGGAGTGGAGGACAAGATTGGAGCAAAAGGGATATCATTTGATGAAAAACACGAGTCTAAAGAGGGCTCATCTTTTCTACTGGACCACCAGTATAGCCCCTCAGAAACATCACCAGTCAAGATTACACTGACGGAAATAGAAACTGTGGAGGTGCCTCTATCAAAGGAGAAAATTCCTGAAAAACAAGAAGCTGGTCTCAAACCAAGTCATGAAATAGTTCCTACAGTGACAGTATCTGAGCCAGAAGATGACAGCCCAGGCTCAATTACACCACCTTCTTCAGGAACAGGTAAAAATGATTACATACTAGAGTACAATAAAAAATAATTTAGGGGATGAGGAAGATTTGCTGATAACATACATTAAAAAGCCCCTCCCTTTTTACAACCCTTAATTCAGGATAGAGTCAGAGTGACTGGATGGAATTGAGCATTTACTGGCTGGATGCCCTTCCTGATGCCACATGGAGTTCTCAGCAGATAGCATACACAGTTAAATTTTCTAACAAGAGGACTTTACAGGTGGATGGAATTGGAACTCCTAAATTGTTAGTGATGGCCATGATGGTTGGAGAATTCTGGGTATTGAAGACATACATCTGGGGGGTTACTCAAATAATTCATAAGTTATACATTGCTCCCTATGATATAGAGAAACCTCAATTCACAGCAACACTCAACATTTTGTTCCTTCTGCAGATGCCCTGGGTGTGTAGGGGAAAGGTTGGCTAGAAACCCACAACTATTTCCTTCCATTAAAGTACCCAATATTAAATTCTGTGAGGGCCACTACAATGAGTAGTTTTATTGCCATGGTACAATAAAGATAAGTGGTACCGGCAGTGCTTTTAGTATCTAAATCCTTTCTTCTGAATTTAAGGACATTTTTATGTAGAAAAGCTCTATGCCAGGGTGTTCAACCTTGGCAACTTTAAGACTTATGGACTTTAATTCCCAAAATTCCCCAGCTGGCCATCTTTAACTCTGGCTTATTAAACAGCAGTGGAGATCTTTTTCTCCACTGGCTTGAAAAGATGCTGCAGCTCTAGAAATCATTAAAAGGAGAAGTGAAATTAAAATCAAAATCTGTCCGAAGGGAACATCTCATGATAGATTGGGAAATTGTTTTGTCTCCTTTGGCCATTGGGCCATTGGCCATGGACATTTTTTCCCTGCAAAAGTTAGCCATCCTCCTTTAGCAAGCAAGAGAGGGGAAGTAATTGGCAACTGCCCAAAAAGTTGACACATTTATTTCATGGAATATAAAATATTAACTTATATGGAATATGACACTTAGCAGCAAAGCCTATACTCAAAAAAAAAAAGAGAGATGTCTTATGCTTTGTTATGTGTCACATATATAAACTACAGTCCCATTTTATACCCATCTTCAAAGCTTTTATGAGTCATGCCACCTCTAGTCTGTTTTCAGCAATATGTTTTCACACATTAAAGCACCCACTTTTATATTTTGTACAAACCGTGTATTTTTTAAAACTTTCTTATTATTTGCAAATTGTTAGAGTGAAGTCATGCCTCCTTATGAGGAGAAACATCAGCACCAGACATGAAAAAACAATCTAGACATAATACAGAAAGCCCATTGTGTTTGCTCTAGAGCTTGTGGGTTGGAGGTACTGTACACGCGTAAGTAGATTATTTGATTGCTTCCTAAAGAAATAAAATTGGATTTTTGCTAACCAGAATTTTTATCCTTCTCTTTCCCTCATGTTTATGTTTTCTTTTTATTGCACTCCTTCTTCTTTCCAACTTGGAACTATCTCCTTGAAATTCCAGAACCTTCTGGTTCTGAATCTCAAGGCAAGGGCAGCCTTTCTGAAGATGAACTTATTAATGCCATTAAAGAAGCAAAGGGCTTCCCATTTAAGCATCCTGAAGGCCAAGGACCACAAACTGTTGTACCAGAGAAACAAGATAAGAAAAACAAGTTGACAGAATTTCCAGCAGGAAGTGCTCCCTTGGATAATGAAGCAAGCAGTGCTGAATCAGGTGATTCTGAAATAGAATTGGTATCAGAAGACCCTCTAGCTGCTGAAGAGGTTCTCCATTCCAACTACATGACCTTCAGCCATGCGGGAGGTCCTCCACCTTCCCCAGCCTCTCCTTCAATACAGTACAGTATCCTGAGGGAAGAACGTGAAGCTGAACTGGACAGTGAGCTCATAATTGAATCATGTGATGCTTCATCAGCCTCTGAGGAGAGCCCTAAACGGGAGCATGACTCTCCCTTAATGAAGCCCATTATTATGGACATTATCGAAGAAGAAAATCACACTAGGAATGAAGGCACCAGAGCTTCGGATTACAATTTAAGTGGCTCCAAGGAAAGCAGAATGAACAGGGAAAATCTAGCAGACTCAGCCTCCTACTTGAAGTGTTCTTTTGCCGCCTCTAAAGTCCATGCTGATACCGTGTCTTCGTCTACCATCAGCAGTGAAGAGATAAAGGACAAAGTAGCTCAGAAGAAATCAGCTGAAGTGGCAGCGACTGCCAGTGGAAAGAAATCACCTTCCAAGAATTCAGTGACAAGAAGTCCCTGGTCTTCACCACCACTGCCATTTTTAAATAAGCAAAAAGGTAATGCTGACCATTTTTATTGCCAAACATATGGGCACTTTGGCTATCTGTGAGAATAGATGATGAAAATAGTGGAAGAATCAGGAACAGCAAAGGTCTGCCTCCTCATAGATAGGATTTCAAAGCAAACCATTTATCTGGGGGCCAGGAATATTGTTAAGAGTTGATTAAGACATGGGGTGAATATTGGAAATGGCTATTTGCGATGCAGATATTGCCCAAGTTCAATTTATTGTGGCTTTGGTAGCATGAAACATCACAATAACAGTTTGGTTTTATGCACCACATTTGCAAGAAACTCACTTTCAGAACATTAATGTTATTGGGGAACTTAATATGCAACAGAATGATTATCTCCACTAATTAAAAATTCAATTTACATCTTATTTTCCCCCCTTCTCCATTAGTTAGTTCAAGGAGACTTACTACTGTGTTTGTTTAAAAGTTTTAAATACCTATTTAAAGACGTCTAATAATTATTTTAAAGTATATTGGGTAGAATTAAAAAATACAATGTAGAGAAATGATAGAAGAATGAACAACCTTGTTACAGAGATAAAATGATTATCTTTAATCAGCATTCCTAATGGGCCAGTAAAAATAATCTTTAAGCACAAAAGGTGTAGATTGAATCATATCTCATTTAGCTCTGGGCCATAGAAAAGACACATCTAAGAATACAACAATGAAATAGGTAACACACATAAATGATGTAGAAAAGAGGTCCACAATCATCAGGCTGTGGCCCAATACTTAGCCGCGGCCTGTTTGGAAATGGACCACATAAGTGGCAAGTGAGCATGTGAAGCTCCACTTGTGTGAGCAGTGGGCGCTAGCACTTGCACACAAAGCTCTACTCACATGAGTAGCGGGCACTTGAGCTCACATAAGAAGCTCCATTCACACTAGCAGTGGGGACGTGAACCTGCCACTCACACAAATAGAGCTGTGCACGCTTGCACATGCATACCTACCACTCACACAGACACTCCCACATACACAAATGCCGGGCCACCAAGCCAGAAAGGTTGAGGAATGCTGATGTAGACCCTTATATCAATTACTGGATTTTACTTGGGAAGTACATGTTCAATCTGTATACTGTATATACTCAAGTATAAGCCTAGTTTTTCAGCCCACTTTTTGAGCTGAAAAAAGCCGCCTCGGCTTATACTCGAGTCAGTGAAAAATTTGCTCTGCATAACAAATTATTATCACACA